AGAACAATGATCTAGGATGAGAGTTGATACCATAATGTAGAAGAAGATTGAACTTTCAAACCTATAAAAATACTACTAATTATCTTCAAAATATTCAAACCATCTTATAAATTCATCCCAACATGTTAGATAACAACTCCTACCAGCCTCAGTCAAAACTTCTGATTGAAAAAAATTGTTCTGGTTTACTCTGAGTCATAGAATAGAGTTTGTGAGCTATTATTTCTTTGAATAATTACTCAAAGCAATAATTTAGTCTATAGTCCTACTGGATATTCACCCACTCTCTGTAAGGGGAAAAATAATCGCCATATTGAGATTCTCCACCATGATGTATGTACAGTATGTATCCAATATCTGTATGCAATTATGAAAATAATGATTTGATCTGATGTTTTCATATTTCTTTATTAATATATCATTCCAGGGAGAAATATTTGGAAAATTTTGTTTAAAAATGAATGTTCATTGGGGAGGGGGGGACTTAAGACAGGGATTGGTGAATTGGTGTCTTCCAGGTACTTTTTATATAATTCTCATATATTTTGCCATTAGCCAAGTGTACCCGTAGTACATCTAAAATATGCCAGACTCTCAAATATAAATTAATTCAAATTTGGGTTTGTCCTGATCCTATCCATTTATAGTCTCCAAGTAATATTATACATCCCTGATCCAGAAAGAAGTAGAACAAATATTTAATAGCAAGAACTGGTGTCTGGCCTGTTAGTTGAATAAAGATGAGTTCAGATCACCGGGACCAGATGGAATACACCCCAGGGTTCTGAAGGAACTGGCAGACGAGATCTCAGAACCACTGAACTATATCTTTCAAAGATCCTGGAGCACTGGGGAACTGCCAGAGGACTGGAAAAGAGCTGATGTAGTTCCCATCTTCAAAAAACGAGAAAAAAAATAGATCCAGGAAACTACAGACCTATCAGCCTGATCTCAATACCAAGGAAGATTCTGGAAAAGATAAGAAAAGATTGTCCTAGTGGACAATCACTTAAATATGAGCCAGCAGTGTGCTGCAGCTGCCAAAAAAAGCCAACACAATTCTAGGCTGCATAAACAGAGGGATAGAATCAAGATTACATGAAGTGTTCATACCACCTTATAATGCCTTGGTAATGCCACACTTGGAGTACTGCATCCAGTTTTAGTCGCTAAATGTAAAAAAGATGTTGAGACCCTAGAAAGAGCGCAGAGAAGAGCAACAAAGATAATTAGGGGACTGGAGGCTGAAGCATATAAAGAATGGTTGCTGGAACTGGGTATGTCTAGTCTGATGAAAAGAAGGACTAGGGGTGACATGATAGAAGGTGACAACTGCTTTAAAGGTGACAACCAGCACCTTGAATTGCACCTGGAAGCAAATTGGCAACCAAAGCAGTTCCTGCAAGAGAGATGAAACATGCACATCAAGGTCTGCACAAAACCATGCAGGCTGCTGCATTTTGTACCAACTGAAGCTTCCAGATGTTCTTCAGGGGGATCCCCATGTAGAGTGTGTTGCAGTAGTCAAAATGGGAGGTGGTGAGGGCATGAGTGATCATGAGAAGGGCTTGTTGGTCCAGGAAAGGGCATAGCTGGTGCACAATCCACAGTTGCCCAAAGGCCCTCCTGGCCACAACTGCCACCTGTTCTTCAAGCAGGAGTCGCGAATCCAAGAGAACCCCCAGATTACGCACAGAGTCTGTTTGGGGCAGTGCCACCCCATCCAAGACCAAAGGTGGCAATTCTCCATGGGCCAAAGAACCCCAAACCCAGAGCCACTCAGTCTTGCCAGGATTCAGTTTCAACCCGTTGCTCCCTATTCAGCCCCTAACAGCCTCCAGGCACTGCGAGAGGGAGGCCATGACATTGCTTAACTCACCATGGGCTGACATATACAGTTGTGTATCATCAGCATATTGAAGATATCTCAGTCCATGGTGATGGATGATCTCACCCAGCAGCTTCATATAAATGTTGAACAGGAGCAGAGAAAGTACTGATTCCTGCAGGACCCCGCAAAGCAGTGGGCGAGGGCTGAATCTCTCCTCTCCTATCAACACTGACTGAGAGTGCCCACAGAGGAAGGAAGTGAACCAGGATAGGACAGGTCCCCCCACTCCAATCCCCCGAAGCTGATCCAGAAGGATACCATTGTCAATGGTATTGAAAGGCACCGAGAGGTCAAGTAAAGCAAGGATGGATGCACTACCCCCATCCCGCTCCAGCCAGAGATCATCAAAAAGAATGACCAATGCTGTTTTCATCCCCTATCCAGGCCTGAAGCCTGAATGGTACGGCTCTAGTTAATCCATTTCATCATTGGATCAAAAATAAGCTACAGATGTGTTAGTGCTGAAACAGTTTGAATTCATTGTTCCTCAGTATATAATAGAACAGGGGTGTCAAACTCATGTCATCATGGTGGTGTCATGTGACGTATTGGGACTTTTCCTCCCTTCGCTAAACCAGCCCACAGGCTGCCAGTTTAATAGCCCTGTAATAGACTATACAGTGAATATCAGGTATAGGTTGCAGTCTCTGGTTGCAAATTAGAAATCTGTGCAGCTCCATGTATAAAAGCAATCCATTGGTCATGCCCTTCTTCCTCCCAAAATTACTCAAAGTTAAGTTGGCTGCTACTCAAACAGGAGATATAAATAATAAGGCAGCTCCCTTGCCTATAATTATCCTTTTAATTCTAATTTTCCATGAAGGTTTTGGAAAAACCTTGATTTGTTGCATTTTTGCTTTAGCTTTCTGCTAAAGAAATAGATCTGTTAATGTTAAACAAAAGATTAAGTTAATTAGAATATAAACTTAAACCCTCCTTGCTAGTATTACTGGCACAAGCAATGATCTAAATTAGGAAGGTATACTGATTAGCTTAGTTATGCAGTAGTCTACTGACTAAAACTAATATTGTAATTGCCTTATAATCTAAATTTCAAAACTCCTGTAGTTTCCTGGTCAGTTCTGTCTGAAATCCCATAAACTGCCTTGTTCAGACTACCTGTCCATTCTAGCCCATAATTACTGTTTTCTCCTTTCCTTGACCTGTTGCCCATCCTTTTTAACTGCAGATTTACTAGAAGTGAAGCTAAATCCTTTATATACAAAAACTGTTGTGGTTTCTATTGATGTCCAATGTGAATGATGTCCAAAGAAACTAAGCATGCTAATTTCCTCCCTCCTTCCCATTTTAGTTATTTAGCACTGTATTATTAGATTATTAATGGTTCTTCATTCTCCCATTTGGAGAAGAGAAATGCAAGGAGCAGCAACAGTGATGGTTGAATCAACCCGAAGGTTGAGCTCTGATGCTTTTGTAATATAACGGTTTAATATGAAAGAGTCCTTCACACCTGCTTACGCACAATTTTCAGCCTGCTAAATGCAGCACTGCCTGTGTTCAAGACTTTCCTCCCACATAATACATTGGCAAAAGCAAACAAAATTATGGCTTAGCAGTATACATGAAACGGAGTGTATACCAATTAGTAGTACATTTTATAAATATTGCTCTGATTAAATAAATATTTAATCAGAGACAACAATTAAAGAAATTGTTCCAGAGAATGTTCATTCTGCTGTCTTACTTGAATAAAATATGAATTCTAGGAAATCCGTTAGTTGAGTACTTTTCTTAAAAAGAAACCCTTCCCTATGTGAGTTTTGCTGAGTTTTGTATTACTTCTTCCCTCTCCTCCTGAAAATATCCTGTGTATCAAGCACCAAGGTATAGGATTAATTTACTCCTTTCAACAGGTTATAAAAATTTGATTGGCCTGAAACCTGAGTGGAAGATTTAAAAATTGTTTTGCTTTGTGTGTGCTAATTTTTCAATCTAATAGGGAACATCCTTTGAAGAACGTTTCAGAATAAGTATGAGTAATCTGGTGGTTTCTGAATGATATAGGATTTCTTCGGAAAAACACAGTTAGGAAATCAAACAATACACACTCTTCTAGACATCCTGGAAAGTCCACTGACATGTGGGAAAGGGCTAATAATTACTTTTTCCTTCCTGATGGTAATGATGCCCTTAAAATGGAGATATTTTCTGAAATTTGGTTCTGCCAAGATCTCTACCTTTCTCTCAGTCACAGCTTTTTATCTGCAAATATAGATTTTTTTAAAAATTTCTAAAATAATGTTTTATTTATTTACCTATTTAGTACCCAATCACTGAACCGTCAGGAAGGTACAACGTCAAAGTTTCAAACTCATAAAAATTCCAAAACTCTGAATCTAAAGATTAAAAGTTTAAAACAAAAAAATAATAATGTGATGAACATATTTTGAACATGGTGGGTGCCTAAATATATCAAATATATAATAACTATGCCATTCTAAGTTGAAGACAGTGTGATTGTTTCTCTTTCATGGCAGTGACTGAAAATGTAATTGCAATACTGATTGGTTTCAGATTCCCTGTTAGTTAAATACTACAATGTCAACAGCCTCTGTCACTAACATTCAGAAATAGCAGAGTGACTGATTCCAAAAATTTAGTTGCAAACTGGAAATAAACTGGTGGCTTCCCTTTTAGGAGGCTGAGTTTGTTCCTGGACACTGATGCCAGAAGGATCCAAAACATTTGGATGCAAAATAAAGTAAGGGGAGAATGAACTTCTGTTCAGAGAAACTGGCATGAGTCTGTCAGAAACTAGAAACACAACATTTTCTGTGCTTGCCACACTGGTTGCTGGGTCCAAGAAAAATGAAGGTGATTGTGGTCTGGTTCTGGTGCAAACACGCAGTGTACTTTTTTGAATAGCCTGAAAATTGATTTTTCTCAACATTTCAAAAGTGGATGTGGAATTTGAGCAGCAGACCAACTTCTCCTAAGTTTCCTGCCTATGTATACTTTCTGGTTTCTCTTACAGTGACAAACCCGCCAAGTGCTGAAAATAGCTCAAATGCTTCTAGAACAGTAGCAGCAGCCAGCAGCTGAAATTCTTTCCTGCTCTTATCGCCTTCTCTTTTTCTCTTGATTGCAGGTTCTTGTTCTTCAGTTAAACTTAGACCTCTAGAGGAACTAAGCATTAAGAGAAGACCGGGTTAACAAGATCTGGATGTACAAGAACAAGAATACTAATATCTCCGACATTTCAAAAACAGGAAGACTCGTCTGACTGGTAATTCTCTACCTTTTGTCTGTGTCTATCTTAAGGATTTGCAGTTTTGTTCTGCATTCTTAGCTAATGTTTCTAGACTATAGATTATCATTCTATAAGAACCTGCCACAAGAATTATACTTCTTTTTTTTTTCTCATTCTGTATCTTTCATATGCACATATTACACAAAAGTTTTGTGAGGCTGGGTGACTTTTGCTCAACTCTTAATTATTCAGAAAAAAGTTATCAAATGCCAACTATGTTCAAAATTAATTCTAAGTAGAGAATTATATTTTAGTCTCTTGAATTTTTATTTTCTGTCTGATTATTGCATTTGAAAAGATTTAAACAAGTCTAAAGTTGACAGCAAATCATTTGATATTCAGAATTGGACATCTATTTGAGAAAATCTCATTTTTACAGTGTGCTGGTCAAATCAGCAAAAAGACATTTCTTTGGGTTTTGTTGTTGTTGTTGTTGTTTATGAGTCCACCATATCCTGATATAATACCTTTTAGGATTCATTTAAGTTTCTCAGTAACACACTGCCTGCCAACAGCCGCCTGTACGTCAGGTTTGTCGTGCAAGAAAAGCTGCATCTCTTCCTGAGTACATGAACTGGTTTTGACTTGCTGCCTCCTTTAGCTTCCTTTTGTTTATTAACTCTATCCTTACCTCTATCGTTGGCTAAAATTCCTTTGTGTCATTTTTTCTTTGAATAACAATTTATATCAATATCATCACTATCCTTCCTTAAACTTGTTTTAATTGTCCCTTTCTCTTCTTTCAACTCTTTCTTCAGTCTACTGTACTGCATTTAGCAGACTGATGAAGGTTGGTCTGACAGCTAGATAGGAATTTTGATTGGTCTCCCAAAACATACAGTGGGTGGCAGATTGGGGAAGATAGTATTTTATAGTCACCAGCCAAGAATAACAACAGCAATCAGTCAAAGACTATCTGCTAGAATAAAGAGGGATACAGAATTAGAGTAAAAATAGAGAATGACCTTGGAAAATCTTTTTAAAGAAGGGTTGCCACTAATATGATGCTCCACCGATATGTTCTGTTCTATGGAACCCACCAGTTATATGGTTTCTTATATTTCACTGTGGCAGAGCAAATGTAAGAGTAATTGGGGCAAATACAGAAGAAAGCCAAAAGAACTACAACTTGGAATAAGAATTAGTCTGAATGCAATTCTCCAAATAAGAGTAATCCTACCTCAATTTGTCCATTTGGAGAAGGCAAAGGCTGGCAAACATGTCAATACTCAATTATGGTATTAACTTTTTGTGAAAATGCAAGAATGATGTGCCAAAGAACATTTTCTGCACAGTAATTTTCCACTAGTTCAATATTTAAATGCCCTCATTTAGCTTCCAAGAGCAAATTGCATACAAATAATTGCTTTCGTATTAAGAGCAAGTAAAGCCAAGTTGAAGTCTAGGATTATTTTTTGTAGCAAAGGACTGCCTAGCAAATAAGAGTCTGTAACTAACAGGCTGACATAACTTGAATGGAAGGGATGTGAACCCAGAGCTGTCGTTCTACTGAATGAAGGGGAAATCTCTGGAGAGGAATGGAATGCCTTTCTTTTAGCAAATATACCTCTGCATTCATAGAGAACAAACAGTAACATTCTGTGCAGATTTCCTCTTTGACAGTGTGTTCTTTGTTCACTCTCCAGTACTGGTGTCAAATAAGTTATTGGGGGAAAAAATACTATTTGGATTTTTGAAAATTTACTTGACTCAGTCTTCAGGAACTCCATAATTTTAAAGAAATATTAGCATAGCAGATATTAGTTAAATAAATAAGTAATTTTATGCAGACTTAGAGCAGTTGAACATAAGAGAACTTTATTTCTGAGAAAATGTATATAGGATTGATTGATAAAGGACTATGAACCAGCACCAGTGTTTGTATAAATATTCAAATAGGAAAGTTACATGCATTAATTGCTAGGTTTTTAGAGCAAAAATGTTGCCGCATAGCAACATTTTGTAATCTTAGCTCAGTACTCAGTACTCTTCCCTAGCTTCTTCACAAATATTGGAGTTCAGTTCTCATAATATTTACCCAATATATCATCAACAGATTGGGAAAATCTACATTATCCATGATCAACTCAGCCCACTTTACATTCTGTTCCTCTTCCTCTCCACAACCTATATGGAACTTTTGCCCCCAAAGTGATAAATTTACTACTTTTAATGAAGAGGTTAGGACTGTAACTTTCTATGCACAGTGGGATTTGCAATGAGTTCGAGTAAGAAGGTAAAGGTGCCCTCAAACCAATCCTGGCTCCTGGAATTGCAATTTTATAGATTAGCTCTTGTGGATAGCTTGTGTTGTTTATTGTATTGCTTCACAAAATTTACAGCCCTGAGTTTTCCCATGGTTACCTTTCCAAATATCAGCCAGGTCCCACTCTACATTAATTGAATTCTGTTTGTAGACTAGAGGATTGATCAATTAGTCCTAAAAAGGTCAAAGAATAAGTAGAATTCTAACACAGTTTAACATTAATGAAAGCATATGTAGTGTATATTTAAGAATCCTAATAAAGAAATTTATTTTGAATTTGTGCTTTTCCTTTTCTGAGAAACCACAAACAGCTTATTTGTCATAGTCTTGTGATCAGAAGAAAGATCTCCTGTAGAAGGGAATGTGACTTCTAAACAAATGAAGTATAAAGTTCAGTTCAGGATTAAATCTAAATCTATACAGCTCATAGAAATAGTTTTTCCTATACTTCTCTTTTTTCTGCAGTCTTTTTCTTGTCTTGTCCCCCCCCCCGCCCCCACCGCTTCATAAATGGATGGTGTTTCTGCCTAATTTTTTTCCTGTTCTACTCAGCATTCTATACCACCTTAAAGTATCCCTTCCCAATTCTTTTTCTAATATTTTCAGATTGTATTAGTGCCACAGAGAACATAACTTGAATATATTCATTTCTGTCACCCAATTTGCTATATATAAATCTGGACTCAACATATTTGGTCTCTTATTTTATGAAATAAGCATTAGACTGAGCTCTTTATTTGATTTCAATATGTTTAACATAGCATGAGTTAGAAGTTCGGGGAAGAGAACAAAGGAGAGCATTAATTGCTTCCACTGAGAAAACATTTTTAAGATGTTGTCTTCACTGGAAGGAAAGAAATTTTGGGAAGAAGCTGTGCATATCATGAAAGACCAAGAGTGGATTTTACTTATTAGTAAAGGAAGTTCTTTTCTTGACTACAGAACCAATGCATGTTTGTGCAGATAAATAATCATTATTTTATTTTTCTTATTTGTAAATTTTACTGAATAATTTTATATCAGAAAGTAGGATATATGTTGTCAAAACAGAGTTATGAAATGAAATGGAAATGCACCTGAAATGGCAGAAAGTGAAAGGAATTGAGGGGAGAGAAGCAGAGAAATAATGAGGAAAACATTAAGTGTTCCTTTTTTTTTTAATCCTGCCCCATATTAAAATAATCAATTCTTCCTTCAAAAAGCTGTTTTTCATATCTTTATTTTTAAAATAAAACAAATCTGAAATTTTATACACACACACACACACACACACAAACACACACACACACACACACACAGAGAGAGAGAGAGAGAGAGAGAGAGAGAGAGAGAGGGAGGGAGAGAGAGAGAGAGACGTGTGTGTGTGTGCGTGTGTGTTAAAGAATATGTTCACCTTGTTTTCCTGGCTATTAAAAACACAGACACTTTTATGCTTTCAGAATGTACACACTCCTGTTTGATTTTGGCTGGTGGTGGTAGTAGTAGTAGTGATCTGTTTGGCCAAAATATTGAAATATATGGCAACACTTTTTTCAAATTTTCTCCACTTGGCTAAACAGGAATAATGCTATTTTTCTGCCTGTCAGATGATGAAACTTCCTGATAAAGAAACAGCTTGGTGGTATTTTAGGCAGTGGAGATAAAACATCAAATGTTAAATGGTTTTATTGGCAGGACTTTTTTTCCTTGGCTTTATTTTTTCTCTTCTCTATCATGTCATGTCCAAAGCTGTTTGTGTTTTGAGTATCAAAAGAATCTTTGGATGAAGGCATTCAGGAAGGGAATTGAGTGAAATGAGTGAAACAGTAGACAAGCATTAATTGAACTGAGGTCGAGTTGACGACAATGGATGCATGGAGATATACATTTGAGAAATTTATCAAATTTGATATTGTTTACTTGTTATTTTTTTGATCATAAAGTCTTTCTGGAGTCTTATTTGTGAGGAATATTGTGTACATCTTTTTTCCTGTTTGTATATGACTTCGTGAAGTATGCATAGGATGAGTTCGTTTAAAAATTTGGGCAAGGCATATTTCTCCTTTATCTCTACCACAGAGTTAAAAACTATATACTATGGATATAAGGAGGAAAGAAAACTAGAAAATGGTTATTGTTTTATATATACTAGGCTATTGATTTTCACTTGTATTTAGTATTTCTTTGGAATTTATTAACAAGGCACTTTCCAATACATTTCTAACCACTGCGATACCATACCATTTCTTAAACTGTTTGTTCTCTCAAGATTTAGTAAAAACACATTCCTCTCCTAGATTAAGGACACAAAGAATTGGAACAAATAACCAATTATTTTCCATGTTTCAGTCCGGGAAATAAAATCTGGATAACTCTACTTGCTACATGTACCTGAACTAAATATTTTTGGGAGCAGATGGGGTGTGTTGTAAATTTGTGTGGTTTAAAAATCATCTTGAAATATAATTAGCCATACCTTTCTTTAGCATTTACTGTCGATAAACTGTTCACTGTGGTTAACAAACATATCTGGTGGGGGAGTTCACTTTTTTTTCATAATCTCATCTAGTCAAGCACTAGTTGAAGTGTCCATAATGCAATTGTCCTTGGGCAGGCTGCTCCCATGGTGACATTCTGTGCCTGGGCATACGGTTAATATCAGAATAGTTCCACTCTATGCAAGTTACTGAATGTGTTGAGCAATCATTATCATGCTGTTGGTTTTTGATAT